TGCTTGCCGTCTCAATCTGATTTTTGAACAAGCAGTAATGCAGAGCATGAAAAGGAGGCACTCCAAAGCAGCCAGACAGCTTTTTAAACTAATGACTGATTGCAATGAGAACAATCACGGTCAAAGTGTATTGATTTTTTTTTTTTTTTCCAGGGGCTATTGCCTCTTCTGTCATCCTATTCACTTTATCTCCCCCTCTGCCGCCCTTTCTCTCACTGCAAGTCATGCCCACAGCTATCATTTGTCCACTGCTTTGGTACTCAAATAGTGATTTCTGTGCTTGATAATTGATGTGCTTTGGCTATACCCACTCTAGTGTCCACCCAGGCCACTGAGAAAACATAAAAACATCACAGGCTCTAAAATGAAGAGTGATCACCACCCAGGCCGGGCCTCCCTTGCTTGTATAAACTGGTTAAGAGGAAGGGCTGAAAAAATGCTTTTCCGGAGACAAAAACAGATACATTTGTTTGGCTTTACCGTTTCTTTACCAAAGGAAAAATAAGCTTTTGGCATCCTCGGAAATTGAGATAAAGCCAGAAAACTTTCACAAAATAGTTGTCTGTTGTTTGTTTATGGACATTGACATACAGTTATTGTAACCTTTCCATATGTCGCTGTCCTGTGAGAACCATCTATCCCCAAAATGTCTTTTTCTTCAGATTTGTGTGAATGTATTTTCAAGCGTCAACCCACAGAGGAACACTTAAAATCACAAAATTTGGATAAACAGCTGTTCTCCTTCATTAAACACTGTTAAATGTGTTGCTAAAGCTTTTTGGCATAGGCAATTATTGTTGATTTGCGTTTTATTGATGAATGCTCAATAAAATGGCATGCCGAGGGGAATTTAGCAATTACAGGGACCCTGTTGCAAAGCAAAAAGTTGCAAAAAGTCAGGGGTGCCCTAAAGTTGTTGGGCTTCATCCTCTGGGATCCATGTCTGTCCCAAATTTCATGGCAATCTCTCCAGTAGTTGTTGAAATTCTTGAGTGTGCCAGAGCAACACTGACCGACCACTGGAACCATCATAGCAAAAAAATTAATCATTTCCCATGGCTGGAGATGCTCTTCATTTTCCACAAGTTATGTTTGTATACATGGGCATAACTTCTCGTAGGGACTGCGGGGAAATGTCCCTACCACTTTTCTGATTATCTGAAATTTCCCCACCACTAATTTGATATTAATTGCATATGCATTTAGATCAAAAAGCCTATAATTTCCATCAGATATGCAAAGGGTTAACTCCCTCACATTCCCACTGGATGAGAAATAGCTTCTACTGGTGTTCGCTTTGTGTCCGCCTGCTTTTCATGCAGTGATATAATTGCCAGAGAAACTTGTGGATGAATCAGAACCGACGCGGTGCACTTTGTCAGACAAGAAAGCTCAAGGCTAGAGCACAAGACAATCCAGGCTGTCATTTTGCAGGTGCTTTGCCTTCTGTGATCATAACATTATGGTTCCAGTATCAAATTAAACACACTGATTATTTAGTGATATGAAAGACACAGCTGTCTCGAGCCTGCCAACGCAAGATAGACTGGGAATTGTAATGGTCTTCTTCACCTCTGATGAAGAGCAGCGCATGCAGCATCTCATCCAGAGTCTGGAGGGGATACTACTGTAGCAACACAGCAGTAACATAATGCGCAACAGACTAGGGCTGGTTTTTCTTGAGATATTATGACTTAATTCTCATTAAATTATGACTGTATTCGCAACTTCTCAGAGAACACATGGCAGATGGTTTTGAATGCAAAAAGTTTTAAACATGAGCAGAAATTTCGCTGAATTGAAATGAACTAAATTAATACTGACGTGAAGGTGCCACATGCACATTTAAAGAGGTAACTTCCCAAACAAAGGACACAAAAGAGGACAGAAGAGTGTATCATGCCTACATGTGTGCTGACTCAGCAGGGATAACATCAAATGAGAAAGGTTGATTTACAGGAGAACAAATATTTGAAAACTACAGAATATCTGAGAACATTTCTGCATTATATTTCAATATTATCTGCCGCCTGATGTTTGTGTTTTCCTTTACATAAATAAAGACATTTTAACCATGAATTGATGCATAAACATTCAACAAAATGCAGGAAATGAAGTGTTTGATGAAGCATCTGAAAGCTACGCCCTTGTTTTTATGCAGATGTTCTGCTTAGGGACGGCAATGCAAAAAGCAGTGTGACATTTATATGACACGGTAAAACATATGGAAGGTAAATAGCATATAGGTATTTTAATATCACAGGAATATCCAGTTGAAAAACATTAGCTCTGTTCAGTCCCAAAAAATTAAACTTGTTAAAAGTAGGGCCCTTACAGTTGTGAGCTACACATAAAGGTGATTATGCATTCAACGCGGTCTCTTTGTTTTTCTCACTCTGTTGCCATCTGTGTGTTTCATCCATTCTCTCTGTCTTTCTCTTCATCTCTCTCCATCTCTACCTCTCTTCTGTTATAAAGCAGAACAAAGCGACACTAGTGAGTAGTTAGTTCAGTTACTTCACTGCCAGCCTTCCAGCAAGTTCGGTCAAAACACTAATGTACTTGTGACCATAATTACTGCACATATTATATGTTGGACTTATTTTAATTACTTAAGTTGTCATTTGTGTTTTCATGTACGGTGTTTAAGTGGAGTCACTGTGTTCCCTTGGTTATGAGCTAATTGGTTCCCACCTGCCCTTGTTATGTGGGGACAGCTATGAGTGATACTTGAGAGAGTGAGTGCCTCGTGCTTAACAGTGAAGGGAAGTTGCCGTACCTCTAAACTGGGATGTGTTGTCTTGCCATATTTGTAAAAATTAAACGAAGAGGAAGGAAGAAATGTTGTAGCCCGCTTATTCCCCACAGCGCAGAAGAACTGGGGAACACCAACAAACAAGAAAAGAGGGTAACAAACTCATCAGTACTGAGTCCCTATAAGATAATATCCAGTTGGACAAGTGGTAGTTCATCATGTTTTTATAGATCATATATTTCTTAAACCAGATTCCCATGTTACTGGAAGTGTATTCACCTCATTGTGTAACATGTTGTTCTAGTTGGCACTCCTCCAAAAATTTCGATTGCAAAACATTGCCATGTGAACTTGGGGTTGATACAGTTGAATAAGTGCAATTTCAGGTTTTGAGCTGACTGATTAAGAAAAATTTTTGTTGTAGTCGGAGAGCTGTATCAGTTTCCTCTTAGTATGATTTCAGCTTTCAAACACACAAACAAAAAAAACACATAACAACAACGACATAGCAATATTTCAAATGCTGTACTTGATTTTTTTGTTCGGGGTTTTAGTCTGCCGTACTATTTTCTGTATTGTAAATAATGGATTCTGAAGAAAACGGAGATCAAATGGTGAAACTGATCAAATATCGACCAATATTTTGTAACTGCGTTGCCTGATTGTCGCCTAAAATGTTTTCAGAATCATATTTTATCCTACCCTGGAAATCCAGAGTTCTCGCTAGAGCAAAATTTGAATTTGCTCAGCGAGTCACTCTGGCAATCAGTAATGATGCTCATTACCTATGCCTTTGAAACCGAGCTGCACCAATCACATCGGTGTATCTGATATAGGCGGGCCAGAGGCGAGCTAAACAGATGACGACAGCGCTGCGACGACGAAGTCCAGAATCAGTCAGTAAACATTGCAAGATGGCTACAGATGAACACCAGTTGTTTGAAACGGCTTTGGCCGCTACAATGAACGAGTTAGACTTGGCTTTTTCTCTAAAAGAGGAACAGAAGACGGCGCTCGAATCTTTCCTTTGCAAGAAGGACGTTTCTGCTGTTTTGCCGACCGGATAAGGCAAGAGTCTAATCTACCAGTTAGCTCCGCTGGTAGCTAAGCGTATACGTCACCCTGTGTATTGTTCTGATTGGTCGTAGCGTTATCCAATTGCATGCAGTGATATTTTCAAATGCATGCTTGGTGCCGCCCCTCGAGTTGGGCCATTTGCATTACTCATAGCCAGACCCTAAATCTTTCTAGATTTGGGTCTGGATTTCCAGGCTAATTTTATCCTACCACTGAACTGCAAGTCCAGATTGTTTGTTAGCAGCTGGCCGCCATTTTGTTTCTTGTGGAAAAACAGCCAAGCTTGCATTACATCACCCACCAGTAGGACTGTTATTGGTCCAATAAGGTACAGTGTATTTCTGGTAGGTGTAGGTTTTCTACCTCTTGAGGAAAAGCAAATTCAGACCCTTTTCTCCGTTTTCTCAGCTCATGCAGCACCAATTTTTTACTAGTATTTACATCTTTCTGCTGCATAGACAGCCTAGCTTTATGAGAAGACCATCTTCAGCTGTAAAATACTTAGAAATATAAATTCCATGTAGTGACACAGGCATAGCATGTAAGACATCAAAAACTTTATAAAGAGGAGGAAAACTATGCTACTTGAAAACAGTCTTCTATACCTGATCTATTGCTGCTTTTCTAGCTTAAGTGCCACTACTTAGGTAATTATATGTGGACTGAAAGTGTGAGTACATAATTAGATACCCTCTTAAGATATAAAAGTAACTTTTGATGGATAATGCATTAGATATGTGAAGAATTTTATGGGAGTAGGGAGTGACTACAGCAACCACACACCAAATGAAGCGGAGCCTGAAAGCTAGTTCAGACAGTCAACTCAAACCTGCTGCTACATTCACGCTGCATACTCATCTCACTGCAACATATATCCAACACACCCTTTTGATTATGAGAGTGTACTCGGGTCTATGTTTCTTTCGGAGGGAGGTTATTATCGTCACTCCCTACTCCCTGCCGAGCTGAGCTCTGTGCCTCCTTGTGCATGCGGTTCAAACGCAGCGCGTACATTACACTCACAAAATAACCCCACTCCACGTGAGCTGACTGAGTGAACTGATGTAATCGTGTGATTTCACCGGCACAGAACAAAGCCACATGTTTTTAACTGATGAAGCCATTTGTCATAATCACTGTCACGGTGCATTTTTCTGCCTTGTTACAGGTGTCTGACTTCCCGGAGGAGCAGCTCTTGGTCGCCGTGTTCCCAGGAGTTCCGACAGCTGCTGAGCTCTTCCTGTTACCTCACAAAAACCAGACGGAGGTCAAGAAAAAGAGTGAGGAAGAGCTAGAGCAGGTATGGGTGGCTATGATTGAACTGTGCATCATGAATTGTTGAAATCCTATCACATAGATTGCTTTTACGTAGACATTGGTGACTGCAGCTGCTCTTTATGTGTAAAACACCATGTTTTATGTGTCTAACAGGTATCGGATATAATTGTAAGTGCGCTGAATCAAAATTTGGTGGAGTTCGAGCTCAAGCCGGGAGTAAGGGTGATTGTGTACAACACACAGTTAACACTGGGTAAGAAACACTCACTCTCACTGCTTTCAATTCTTCCATTAAGTTATCAACCATAACTTTCACAGTTGATTTAATTATGCCCTATTATTTTCTATTTTTCTATTTTGAAGTGTCAAAAAATAGAACGGTGGTAACCGTGTTTTGACAACAAGAACATTTCTTTGGTTCACCAATTAAAATTCCTGTCAGTCTGCCTCCTTTCCAGGCAAAAGAACACAGGGGAGTATGGGAGGGGTTTGATTTTAAGTGGAGCTCCTTGAGACGATCTTTTATGCCTGCTATCAAAAGCTGAACATCTGTTCTATTTCTTGTATCGCCATCCAACCACAAAATGAGTGTTACACTGAGTATAATTATGTTGATTATTTAGTCCTTGAGAAAGAACACTGTAAAATTTAAGGGCAGAGACAGAATTCAGAATTGCTTAAAGAGTCAACAACACTGCTCAGTCCCCGGCTGCTGGTTGATCGACATTCAGAAACATCAGAAATGCACCCCTGCCAAAAAACAAATTGCTGTTATAAGTATCAAATCAATGCTGGAGTCATGGAGGCACATTGATTGTAAATAACATGGCTGGTCTGGAGACCTCGACTTTTTTATTGGTATTGGTAGTCCGTAACAACTTCTGTGTTCCACCACTGGACAGATAACACTTACATTGTATTCATTGCTTGGCTGGTTTCATTAGGCACACAGTCTCTGGAGGCACACAGCCATGAGTTGTCTGTAGCTCAAAGTGCTAGATATTAACAGCCTGGCATGTGCAGCGATGTGACGTTCTGTGGTGTGCTGCAATCTAATGACATTAGAGGTGTACCCAGCTGGATCCCTCTTTATATTTCACCTCCCAAGAAAAGGTCTAAAAAGCCTTCAAGCTGCTTCAGAAAGGTCAGCAGCACACGCGCCGCTGTCTCTGAGCTAAAGGGCTCGGGAGTAGCACAGAAACGTCGGGAAAGTGCAGTGTGATTTTCCTGCAGTGATAGACATTAATGCACTCTTCAGGATAATGAGAGGAATTTAAGGTGGACGCCTTGTGAGCAAAACCATATGGTGTGATATTAACCATAGGGAGTGCTTGTTTGGTTGGGTTGGTATTAGAGGTAAATGTAAGTGCATTTAACCATTTTAAATCCACCTGAGATGGAAGAGTTACCTGCCACTGTCACTTGCTTTGCCCAGCAATAGAAACAGCAATTTCACGCTACCAGAACTTATGACATTTGAAATATTAAGAATAAGAGCATCATTTCATATTGCATTAACATTGTCATATACATATACAATGCTAATAATCAGCAGGGGAATGCATTTACTGGTGAATGGGTTTTATATCATGTCAGAAGCTGAGTTAATGTAAATGTGCAGTCAGGAAAATGAGAAAGATGAGAAACCAATGACAACGAAAAGTTTTAAACACTATGCCCATTCTTCTGTTGAATGTATAAGCATTTATAGTATTTACATGTGTATACACGTATACCCTATGTATATATAGTCCTGAATCAAGATTCCCCGCAGAGTTTTTGACCTCTAGTAGTGCCATGAAGCAATGTTTTCACACCCCCATTTTGGTTGTATTGTACTAACATGATACATGTTCCTGCTACCTGTTCTTCACTACTCTGCTAATCAACAGCATAGCAATGCACCTGCAAATATAGCGATGGAAAAGGCTGAAAGCTTGCAAACATGGATGTAAACAATGCAGGATTTAAAATATTAAAACATTAGTTAAATATTTAGTATTTTAGTAATGGACGCCTCCACATTGGGAGCCACGTGCAGGCAACTCCAGTTCAGACTCTGAATCATAGATGTGTTGTGAATAACGCTTACAGCTCCTCTAAGGAAACACCAGTTGAGTTTCAGTGAGACACAATGTAAACATAAGCAGATATTTAAAGGTATGCTATGCAGGAATTGTCTGTTACTGTTTGTGAACGCAACAAGCTTGGCCCCTCCTCCCAACACTGCATGTGCATACACTGGAAGCAACTATTCTAGGAACGTTGCATTTGTTGTAATAGAAAAGCTAATGCTTTAGCAAGCTACATTAACCCCTGGTACCTACCTTCTCAACAGAAAACAGGCCAATTCTGAGTTACTCTTGATCCCCATCCTCTCCTTCACATGCCACGTCTTTAACCGTCTGGAAAACGCGAGGTCGGGCACTGGGCACTACTTTTGTGCCTTTTTTGAGCCAGCTTTTAAGAGTGCAGCGACAGGTTGCATCTGAGGTTGCTAAGCAGTCTTAACAAGTACTATATCATAGCCAAATCCTGAGTGCAGAGCTGATCTTCTTTCAGGCACTGTTTATAAGTGTGTAGGCCTATCTTCCATGGGACAGATGTAAAGCTCTGGGTGGCTCTGCACCAAAATGACCAACTTCTCCATATTTATCACAGACTGATATTTACGGAAGATGGGAAAGATATCTGACAGCTGTGATTAGTTGGTTGTCATTACATGATATGCGATGCGCGCTGCTGCGTTCCAAAAGTTGAACTCAGTTTATCTCGGGGGGCAGCCGTCGCAACTTGGGAAATAGGCGCTCAGGAACGCACAAATGCTGTGACAGCATCGCTCTGGTGTTTAAGTGCGCCTGCCGTGCATCTGCATTTAAAACAATGACTTTGAGGGCACAAAATACGCAGCATTTGTACAGCCCCTAAAGCTTTGTCCGTTTAGGGTCTCACATCACTATATTTGTGTTTTTTTGTTTTGTTTTGAATGTTGTGTTAGTGATTTTCCTAGCTACCTTTTGGATTAGAGCTTAGATCGGGCCCAAAAAATCCAGCCCGACCCCACCCGAGCCCGTGCATGTTCTGTCCAAGCCCGGCCCTGCCCGTCCCTTTAACTGTAATTATGAGCCTGAGCCTGGTTTAAACCCGACATTTTTTTAAGGATACGAACGTGGACACTGAAGGCTGACTATGGTCTTTCTTTCCATGGCAAGCATTTGTCATGTGCCTCTTAAGTGTCAAGGTCCCCGTCTTCTTGCTGTCATATACCAGCATCGTGCTGCACTTGGTACACTCCACGAAGCCGACACACACAATGTCACCGTCAACAACTCACGTGTGCGAGGATAGTGGCGGGAAATTATGGCCCGACCCAGTCCAGATCGGGTTCAGGCTCGGGCAGAGAATCTAAGCTCACTGTCTATGGTGCAACTTCACCTGCACTCATATTGGCTGAAATGTCCAGAACACAGCAAAACAAATCGAAGAAAATACAGGCAGGAGTCTCTGCAGATAAATACACTGCCACACAATACTAATGGGTTATAAGTGATGACTAAGAGGGATTACTTTTGCGTAAGTCTATACACTGTTTTTTGTTTTTTAAGAAATCCTTGAAATCCACTTTGATGTGTGAATATATCAGAGGGGTGTAATACACAGGGCGACTAGTGGGTAAGCAAGGAAAGGTGGCTCTCATCTAACCTGGCTAGATCGCTTGCTTCAGAGGAAGTTATATTCAGGAAGAACAGGAGGGAGGAGTTTATGTTGAGAGTTACGGCTTGGGAAAAAAAGCTTCTCTTTGGAGGGAGAGAGTGTATAGAGATCTCACAATGGCAAGAGCTCTGTCTGATTGGCCAGAGAGTTAACTGCATGACACATATCAGACAAAAACAGCACCTACAGAAAGAGTGTAATTTAATTCGGTGTTAGCATATTCCAAGTGCAAAATTGTGGTCTTTTGCAATGTGTTTACTTTACAAGTAAACATTGTGATTATAATTAAAAAAAAAAAAAAAAAATAGGATATATTGTTCAGCCCAAGGTAGCATACAGGATTCTCTGGGGTCATAAATGCAGCAGATTGCACCTACATATCACCACTGGAGCCTTAGAGAAACATGAAAATTATTTTTGTCACTTGTGTAGTATGGTGGAGCTTTAGGTAATATTAACACTTTAAATTTCACACTGCGTTTCATCCGTACACTGACAGAATGATGAAGGCACAGCAAGCATAGTCTGCTTCACACTGCTGGTTACAGCTAACAGAACACACACATTAGAACATGCATTAGTCTATTGGTATTTATCACAGATAATAGGCAATCAACAAAATGAATTTCATTGTGATTCAGCCATAAATTAAATGATTTCCACCTATCCTTCATTGTTGGACAATAATGTTGAGTGTGCAGTTGTCACGTCAAAAATAAATATATTAACTTTCAGATCTATACAACTGGCAATTTTCTGCCAGCAAGCCTCTCTTGCATTATTTACAGCAACAGTGTTTTTTTGCTTTAATTTTTTTTTTATACACTCTTGATAGTTATCAATAATAACCACCTGTTTCTTTTGACTGAAGTATGTAGCACACAATCGTTCCTTTTGTGCTGTAGGAGAATGATGTCAAACACCCCCTTTTATGGGAACGCACACAGAGCCTGATGAAGAAGGGTTAACAAAGACAGTTGATAACCACTGTTGTGATACCAGTAATATGTGATTAGGTTTTAGGTTTTGTCATTTTATGTTTTAAATTGCTTTACTTAACGTGTTATAAAGTTAGGGAGTTTATTGTCTTTGGTCTCACCACATAGGATTAAATAACCATACAGGGCAATAATCAGAGCAAAGGGCAGGGACACAGTATCTTCCAAACTACATGATTTAAAAGGGCATTATAGTGATATATGTAAATACACTAGATGTAGCCACATGCTAAACTAGCTAAAATGATGAAGCCAGGGTGGGGGAGCCCTTCTGTGCGGAGTTTGCATGTTCTCCCTGTGTTAGCAAGCTTTTCTCAGGGTGCTCCAGCTTCCTCCCACAGTCCAAAGACATGCAGGTTAACTGGTGACTCTAAATTGCCCGTAGGTGTGAATGTGAGTGTGAATGGTTGTCTGCCTCTGTGTGTCAACACTGTGATAGTCTGGCGACCTGTCCAGGGTGTACCCCGTCTGTCACCCAATGTCAGCTCCAGGCTCCAGCCCCCCCTGGGAACCTTAACAGCATAAGTGGTTACAGAAAATTAATGAGTGACTATACAATTAGGACTTCCAACAACCTTACTTTACATAGGCCTACTTACTGCACTTATACCAGGGATATTGTGCATTACTTTACATCACAGTTACCCAAATGGCTACTCTTGGCAGGTTGTGGTAGAAGTTGAAACCAAACAAACAGAAAGGCAGACAAGTAATGATATTCCCTGTCCTCTCTCCCGCTCCCACAGCACCCTTGGTGGACTCCAACCCCAGACACAGCAGCTCGGCTATGCTGATGCTGCTATCAGTGGTGTTCCTGGGCCTAGCAGTGTTCCTCATCTACAAATTCAAGAGGTACACACGTCTGTGATTACTTCCACCTGCTGCACATATCATATAGAACCCTAGTATATATCTATTACCATATTATCTATTATTGATGATACCAGATGAGCACAGTCTGGACCAATCAATCAGTCGTGTTTGGAAATTTGATTTGACAAGTCCCCCTAGAGGTTGTCTAGCAGGATTCCAATGCATGAGGCACATGTACCAATCAGTGATAAAATGCAGAGAAAACGACCATTAAATGGTTTAATATGCGGTTGCTGTGCCTCGGCTGTTATTTGCTGAATAAATTATTCATACTCAAAATTATTCTCTTGAAAACTCGGAGGGAAATGGAAAAGCTGTCATTAATTATGGATATGAATTTTTTCCCATTAGTCTAAAGAGGATGCATTTTTCAAGAAATCTCACAGTTGACAAAACAGAGCAATTAATAACCAAAATGAATAGTAATTGGAAATAAATTGGATAGTGACTCAATAAAGATGTATATTAGGTGTTATAAATGCAGATGGGAAAAGATACCAGTGTTACTGTAATTTGCCTATAGATTAGTTACTGAGGTATAATTATAGTCAGGACAACTTTGAAAGTTGGAATGCCCATAGCGCGAGTAAACAGAACTACTGTGTTTGAGGTTACAGAGAAGCGCTTGTCATCTCAAAGTAAGCAAATTAGGTAAAACTACTTTAGTTAGAGTTGTGAAAATAATGACTTACAACAAAAAAAGTTTTTGCTTTCATTCAACGAAAGATTGTTTCATTTATTTTCCAGAAAAATGTTGCCATTCGATACTTTTCTAACATCATTTTGAGGCTCATTTGTCAATCTCTTCTTTTGGAAACCTTTAGAAAAATACCTTGGATCAACATATATGCTGAGGTGAACCAGGAGAAGGAGCAGGAGATGATTGGCTCAGTGGGCCCGGGCGACAGCACGCCTAAAATCACTCTGAGTGAGTTCTCCACATCCAAAGAACTCATGGAGAAGGAACTGGATGCCAGGGTCAAAAGTAAGTGATGAGCTATCGTATTCACATTAAATGATGTTTGGAATCAAAATGTTTCTTGCTGACATTACTGTTAACTAGGGAAGTCAATGGTTAACCATAATTGCTGAGAATATTTTTGACCAGTTACACATGTCACAGCACAGTTAACTGCACTATGCACCACCCAGATCAGGTGGAAGACAGACAGCCGGCTAGTCGCATTATCATGAGGAAACAAAGTGCCCACTGCTGACCATGTGGTCTCAACAGGTTAGCTAGCATTAGCTTTGGCTGCTCTGTACTGTGCACCAGCCAGGTCGGTTGACAGCTAGCTAGTCTTGCCACTTATTCAACGATTACTGTTAGCCATCCTGACCCAACAGTGTTGTTGTGAAATCTTTGTGCTAGGAATGCATGAAAACATTGACACGTCATCATTATTGGCAAATATTTGCTTTAAATTGAACTATCGGAATTGGCCAACATGCCGATAACATTGGTACGTCAATATATTGGCAAATAGTTGTATAAAGTAAAAAAGTATGCATGCATATTATGATATTATTTCAACTACAGAAGAGACTTATTAGGAGGGGGAAAAGTGGATTTATCGATATCAGTATTGGTTATCGGCTGAATAAGTTGTTTTAGATTGGCATATCGGATATCGGCAAAAATTTCAATATCGTGCTACTTTGTGCTCAGTTTTCAGTCTCGGCTCAGTTTTAAGCTGCAAACCCCCCTTTAGCATCACTGCTAGCAACGTTAGCAGTGTCAGCACAGCTACTGGTGCTAACATGGCTAACAATGCTAAAATGCTCAAAATGAAGCTGCTTACTCACCAGGGTGACCAGGGGATAGACTGGAGGGTGGGCACCATGTGTGCGCAGCAATGCCATCCCGCCACAAGCACAGCATTGCCAGTGGTTATCGTAAATGAGGTGCACCACCAGCTAACTTAGCTCCCACCTGACGTGGGCGGCCAATGCCAACGTTACCTAACCAGTGGAGACCAGAGGGTGGGCAGTTGGCACTACTTTCCACATATTAATGCAGCCAGCTGGCTGTCTGTCAGCAAAGCCAACAGAAAATAAAATCAAAGGCAAGACATTTACATCACAAAATATTAAAATGTCACTTCCTGTAAATGGATAGAGCTTTGGTTGAGGAGCAAAAGCTCACTGAGTCAATGGAGTGCAGGACCAAAAGGAAAGGCCTCGTATTTTAGGGTTTTTTTTGCATTGTTTATTAAAAAAATAACTCAATTCAATAACAAAACAAACCAAAATTGACATCTCTACTGTTACCTGTAAAAACATTCCTCGAGTGGGATTTTGATGTCCTGATCTGAGAAAGGATGTGTTTCTCTGCTTTTGGAAATGGTTTGGAGTGAAAGTCAGCATGGCACCACACAGCATAAATGTGCAGATTCACCCCCCAGGCATACTTTAGCTATTGAATTTGAATTATTTTTAACCAGAGAATTGGCAACTTAATCTCCTTATAGCATTTTTAATTATTCAAAGAAAAGGAAAGCAGAGGGAGCCGCAGAGTAGAGACAGTCCTGGATGGGTTTTAACATAGTAAAGAATAGATTCCAGCAAGGCTTGCAGTACTGAGAACAATGAATAATTAATACAACCAACATGTTTAAGCATGCGGCCTCAGGATTCCAAAGGCCAGAGACAGCACCGAGGCAGCAGTCTTAATCACTTAACTATTGGGTTACAATATGACTTACTTAAAAAGAATATTTCAGTCCAGCACGAAATAACAAAAAGCAAACTGCCTGAATACTGCATGCTCGCTTTGACCTTATATGATGCACAGAGTCTGTTTTGCAGCTTTACCAAGAGAAGGCAGTACAGGTCATCTGGCAAGTGCAGTTCCTGGATGATTTGACTCTTAGAAAGCTGAGTCTGACGTAGGTGTTAAAATTCAGAATAACTATAGAGAAATGAAACAAGTCTTACACAGTTGTGGACACCCCCAAGCACCAAGGCCATCAGTATTCCGCCTTATTTCCAGCTGAATTTTTTAATTTTTATTTTTTTTTTTTCAGCTCAACACCCATTGTTATTTTTTTGCATACAACCCATAATCATCCACAGAGTAGATTCAGTCAGTTATGAAATCACGTAGCAACTCGGCTTGACGGTGGTATAAGAGGTTGTTTTACATACAGGAAAATATAATAATAAATGCTGATTAGAGTGCTATATTAAGAAGCTAAAAATACATAAAATTACAATAATTCCACAGTTTAAAAATACACTAGACAAACAGAATATAATAGAAGAAAATATGTAACTTGATTAACAAATGTGTTCCCACAAGCTTAAAGAAAATAGGCAAGATTTAAAAATGGTAGCAGAAGAGGAAGATTTAATAGTGAGGGTTCTGACTGTTCCACAGTCTGGGAGTAACAGTAGTATATAGTAGGTACAGTTTTGAGTTTTTACCATTAGAAGTGCTATGGAACTTAAAATTTAGAGGATTTGCTGCTTTTCTTTACGTTCTTTAACAGCATACTGACTATCTTTGGGTTTTGGACTTCTAAAGACCAAATAATTAGTTGATAAATCAGGAAAATTATTTGATATTAAAATCAATACTTATTTGCATCCCTCAAAGGCATATGCTGCAATCCATTGCAAGTTGGAAGTTGATAATTTCGAGTCGGTATTCCTGACTTCTGATCTAAATGCGTATTCATGCATCTGGTCAGGAAAACACAAGCACCCGCAGCAGACTAATGTTTGTATGGCAAGTCTCTGTCAGAGCTTTACAAGCATCTAAAGTAGGGTTGGGTACTGAAAATCTATACGACCGGTACCTACCAGAGGTCATAGTGGTCGCAGTGCGGTTTCCGGTGCCTTTGTGCAGTCGAACAAGAGAAGGAGAACATATGTGTGCTGCTGACTTGACAGTGAGGCTATGGTGACCGGAGTAGAGAGTACATGTGGCAGTGCAGTGTGTGTACAGTTTAGGCTATTTGTCAGTGAAGAAATGCTACAACTCCTTAAGAAACAAGGCAAGTTCATGTCTCTTGCCTGCCATCTGCTTATTAAAGGGTGTTAGCCTCGAAGTTAGTATGCAAAGTTCGCCTTCTATTGGAACCTGACCAGGCTCAGTTACGACAGACCAACTATTGTGATTATAGTGACAATCTCAGCTGCTCCCAAACAGAAAATGGAGAAACGCCTGTCTCCCGAAATAGGAAGACAATTATTAATCCAACTCAAAATGTATTTTGTTGTTATTAGTCCAGTAACTGTTATTCAGTATAAAATTATTGTAGTTGGGTTAGGTTATGTAAATTTGTTAAAAGTGTTTTGTACTAAGTCCTATCTTTCCATCTACTTTAAACTGTCAGAGGTAATATATTATTCAATTTCATATTCAAATTTGCCTTTGCAATAAAAAAGCTGTTCCTTAATGTCCTTGACCGTAGTTTTGTGCTTTTTTTTTCCTGTTAGTTTTTTAAGCATCAGTTCAGGCATCGTTTTGGCACGGGTATCAGAGAACACCCTGCGCCCACCGCTTCTCTTCACTAATGCACTGTGGTAATTGACCTAAACAGTGTGTAAAGTAAGACAACTGTCTTGCTCGTCATTGCTTAGTAAAATACCATTGAAAAACTGTGTAAACAGCTGCCAAGCAAAATAGTTTGAACTTCCACAGCCACCATGTTGCTGTGATTTCAAGTGTGTTTATATCTGCAAACTCGGGCTGGATGAATCTAACCAGAGTTTCCGACTTGAAACTCCGACTTTAATAACTGTTCCACTTTTCTGTGTCGAAAGTCTTTTTTTTTTTATGTTCCAAGACAATGGATTGCGGCAATATTAAATTACTAAAGGGGTGCTGCAGTGATTTAGTGTTGCACTTCCATAAAGTGAGGGGAGACGTATTTTAAAAGGAATGATCATAATCAGTGCAGAAGAGGAAAGATATCCTCATTTTTAGTCCCTAATTTGGGTCCAGCTCCAGAATCACTGGACACTACATTTCCCATAACTCATGACTGTCTTTTATTACAACCTGCCTAGTAAAAACCCACAACTTTCAAATTCAACACCCATACTTTGCTAGCAGGCGTTCTTACAACTTTGTGGTGTCCAAAACCAAGCCGAAATAACCCCAATGGCCTGTGATGACATCATATGTGTAAAATCTTTAAACTGTACATTGGTTCTGTCCATTCATTCAAACTATTGAGCTGGAATTAACAGCTTCTGTCATGCCTATAAATAATACATATCAAAACAGAAATGTAGCCTATTCACTCTGTATTTTTCCATTCATCCTGCTAAAGGTATCATATTAAAAAGACAAATTTTCATAATGGCTTACTTTCTAACTTCTTTGCAATTTAACAGCTGCAGAGCCTTTGATAAAACAACATTTCAGTAATTAACATGAGGTGTCAATGTCAGAGAAGTTATTTGTTTTACAGGCACTAAAGTGCCGATGCAGACTACTGTACTAACTGTCTTTGTTCTTTGCTTGTTTTTCTTCTTGTGTTTCATCTGTTTCTGCTCAGGGGGAGTTGGAAATGCCTGCGAGAGCACAAGGGAGATTCCAAACTGTACTAGTGTGTAAAGCCGGAGAGCAACAGTTTATGTACAGAGCGAAGTATTACAGTGTCGGGGGTTCTCTTTTTCTGTTTTGTAATTCTCAACACAACTGATGTTAATAGTTTTCTAAGGGACCTCATTTATACAGACTTGCACGGACGCCTCGTTCAACAACATCCATGCAGCAAATGTCAATTTACTCAATGAGATCATTGTAATTACTGGCAAAACTTATTCAGTTTTGTGGATGTATAAGCTACATAATGACATTTGCAGAGTGAAATATCTTTCGTCAGAACCTATGAAGAGTTATGTAAATTTCCTAAGGAGTTTGCTTTGAAAATCATTTCTGCCTATATATAGACTATAATGTCTGAGTCTTCAATCAAACAGGGAATATTATTGAAATGTACAATATTATCATCTGTTCTGTTAAATGTATATATTATTACTTTCTACATGCTCGTAGTCTTGAGTACCATGGCGACAACGGATCTGACAACGATCTGTTTTTGAACGTGTGTTAAAAGTCAAACATTACTTAAAGAACTCAACTTTGTTTTGCTAAGGTCCTCGACTTGTGCATGTTCTTATTGAGGACACGATTTCTGTGTTGTAGATAAGCAAGTGTTGTAAATAGTTATTTTCTAATCAGTCATCAAAAGAGCCCAACTGATTTTGCCCAGACTTCTGTTTTGCTCTCTCATTTTCTTCAGTTGCTGTCGGGCAATATGTATCTAGTAGAAAGGGTCTATCTGTTAATGCAGGTAGAACTTTAATGGCATATTATAGATTTAACTTCCCACCATTTCCCTGGAAATGGAATGAAAAGGATCAACATGATCATGATCAATATGTTTATATTTTCATTAAACATATAGGCATCAATAGAATTCAGACATTTTTACACAGATGACAGTTTTTAAACTATCTGAGCCAAACATTATTTGCCATCTTTTTATCACATTTTTCTACCAAGACAAGGCTCTAATAGCTCTGATTTCGCCTCAGAACAAAAGCTGAATCAGTCACTACGGGTAGTATCAAACTGTAGCTACCAGAGATCAAATTCACAAAACTGACATGTTGGGAGAACCATGATGCTATTTGTTCCAGAATTCTAAATGTGTATATCCTCTAAAATACCAGTAGGCAAAGGGTTGGGTTCCGAGAGCTGGATTCAGTTCTTGTTCTTCTTAAGGCCCAGACACACCAAACAGACTTCAAAGAACTAGCAGTGTTAAAAGCTTACTGCTGCGTTGCCTCAAGTCTTCTCTGTCTTGGCCAAGATGTTGTGCTTAAACACACATAAAGGCTACGATCAACAGCCATCTAGCACGTACATTCTGTGCCTACATGAGAGGAAATAACTCTTTATACAGTACCAGGAGGCCGAGGTAGTCTGTATTCGTCCCTCAAAAAGGGAATCCAAAAGACCAACAGAACAGATTCAAGACACTAGTTAGCCAGTTAGCGCATCAACAACACAACCTGATGTTGAAAGAACAAAGCATATTTACTGTGCACTTCCAAACAATAACACAAAACAATACTTTGCTCAATTCGGTTTCTCTGCTTGTGCCCTGAGCTGAACTGCCAATCAGAGTGACTTCATTCACTGACAGGACTCTGCAATTTCTGACACTGAATCAGCATGCTGAATCATCAAAAATATAGCCAACAAGGGCCAAAGATGGCCAACGGTGCGGGACACACCCCAAACACTGGGGTGACAGGCGTTCACTAATGGCCGACCATTAACCACTGGCCGACTGTTGTCTTAGTGTCGGGCCCCTTACATTTAAGGTCTTTTAGGCTGTCTGTTAATCAATTGGTCCATTGAAAATATGGAAACATATTAACTACTGAATAGATTGCTATGAAACTGTGAATGGACATTCGTGGTGCTTAGAGTATGAACTGAAATGACCCTTGTGATTCTCTGACATATAATGTTTCGCCACCATGAGATTTACACAGTGGTTTTAATTGGAATGTGTCAGCAACTACTGGATGGGTTGTAATGAAATGATTCTGATATTTATGTTCCCCTCAAGATATGCTCTAAACCTTGATGATCTCTTCGCTTTTTATGTAGCACCAGTATCAGGTCAGAACTTCTATTCATCCAACTCTTTGATTTATGACCAAACACCTGCAAAACTAAAAACATTACAATCAGTCTCAGCTGTAGGCTAATTTGTGTTTAGTGCTAATTAGCAAATGTTAAGATGATAACATGCTAAACTGAGATGGTAAACATGTAAACACTGAGCATGTTTGCATATTTTGCATTGGCTATTGGTTCAAAGCCCAGCTGTTCTAAGTACAGCCTCACAGAACTGCAGGAATGGCTGTAGACTCTTAGGGCCCTTTCACACCTACCTCATTTGGTCCGGACTTTGAGAATTTTCAGTTTCATCTAAACCAAAGTTAAAGGTGAGAAACCTCCCCTGGACTACAGTCAGGACTGAATAGCCAAACCTTAGTCTGACGAAAAGAGGTGGCCTCAGTCTGCATCAAAGGGAATCATGGTCATTTATATCTGAAAGCCATTTTTGGATGGTTTGGACTTTCGGACCAATTACAGGAAGTTCTTAGTAGCTTAGCTCCTTTAAGGCATAGCTCAGTGTAAAGAGAGAGAAAGAGAGATGGAGAGTAAATGTGCTCAGAGCAGAGAGGAAAATTAGCAGTAAATTTGTCTCATGGTAGTAAATGTACAGTGAGGTTTCAGTTGGTCCACGAATAAAATCTGTGGCTCCTACGGCATGTGTGATGGTATGTGATGTATAGTTCTTGCGCTAGCATCACTGCAGTGTGAAACCACAACTAACCGGATCAAATGGTTCTGACTTTCAGGTGTGAAAAGGTCCTTGGTCTTGTTTTATCACCTTGCAAGAGTAATGTTCAAAACATTTGTAACATTAGCACACTTGACGTTGTTAGCTGGCTCTAGCTGATATTTATGTTTTATTTTCTCAGATAAAGACCTATTTATATAATAATGGTTCTGTGGTGTTGGCATTTCAAAACTGATACATGCAGTGCACCATGGCAACCCAGTTGCCAGAAAAAATGTTCCCATTGAGCGTTTCTACAAATTACAGATATGGTCATTTGTACATTATTTTGTAGGTCATGCATTGAACGGTTCTCAGAAACGTTGTAGTGAAAGGTTCTGTTAATGCACAAAAACCACTTGATTATGGTTAGGAAAAGGTCACATTGTAGCTTAACACACCCACATTTGGTGGCTGGGACGCCGCTGGGAAACGCTGCAGCTGCAGCTTGGCAGGCATCTTGCCAATGTGACATGCCATCCACTACCCAGTCCACCTCCCAATGACAAGTCAGCTTTTATACTACGTCACAAACAATAATATGACACGAATGAAACGTGCAAATGTAACATATTTGTTGTTTGCAGAAGTGTGCAATACAAACATTTTCTTCTGGCTACTTCTTCTGGAGCATCAATTGACAAACATCACTTGAGGTGCGTCAGTAATGGCTTTCAATGTGTTTGGGCCTTGATATTCCTAGTTAAACATTCATGCATTCCTTATCAATATTAAAGCTTGTTAACTTAATAATCAGAACTTGGGACCTAATTAGACCAAGTAGCTTGTAAAAAAGTAAAGTGTGCACATTAACTAGGTTACAACCAGTGTATCAAATACACTTAATCAACATTTCGTATCTTCAGCTGCTCATCTCATTTCCAAGTTGCTACAACATTAATTAGACGTCCACTAAAATCGGCAGTGTTTCTGCCTTAAAGGGTGGTGACTGATTTGAACTGAATCTTTGAGTTTTAGTTATTAATTAATCCAGGTTTCTCACACATCTTTAAGGCTACACCTAATGCTATCAAAACCCAACTCTAAGAAGGATGATAGAATCTAGATATTTTAGAGGATATCTCATTGCCCATGCTATATTGAACAGAGAATATCCAAAATTCTTTATGATCAGATGTATTACTTTACTATCATTTTGTTTATGCATGGATATAACAGTAACTTGGAATGAACCCTTCAGTGCAGTGTTTCTCATTTGGTCCCTTGCTCAGGGTTTTGGGGTGTCTGCTCCATGCAGCTTAAGGGAGTGTTTTATATTTGACGGCTAAAGTAGTCTCACAAGCCTTTTCGTTCATCTGAAGAAAAAAAACAACAGAATATTGTCTCTAAATATTGAGAGTGGAGCAGTTTGCGTTCATTTAAACATCACACAGTGTACGAACAGAGCAGACACAGTGCAACCGGGCTGGGTTGATGTAATTAATCCACTCTCCCTGGTGCCATCAGGCTCATTTTACAACCCAACACTTGACTCATTGCTTTGCGTTTAGTTTGAAATGAGGGAGTAGCGTCCTCCCAGCATGCAAGTCTCCACTGGCGCTGTGTTATCTGGGCCTACAAAAGCAAACTGAGTGGCCTCGGGTTGACTCCCGTAGGCTTCCTGGTATCCAACATGACAATAATCAGAGAAAGCTGGACAGCTGAGCAGAGGACACCCCATGCAGAGCTTTCCCACAATGCTCAACTCAAATAAACAGCACTTACAGGAGAAGCGAGGGGCAGGGGAACACTGTACAAAGATATAAGCTGTCACATCACATATGCATTACCTTGAACAAAGCGTTTTCATCTCAAACCAAACAGCCAAGCCAAGTCTTGTTACTGCAGACAGAAAACACACTGAACAAACATTGTTTTGTAGCTTTGTTGTATTCAACACATGTCACAAGCAAAGGGTTGTTTGCTTGGCTGGATTTACTTCGGTTGGGGGCTTTGATGGTGTCACAATGCCGTAGTTGTTCTGAGTCTTATTAGCAAAACAGGATTAGGAGAAACAGAAAAAGAACTATCAGAAAGTTTGTGCTGAGCACAACTAAAACCATACTTTTAGTGTATTTCTTTTCTTTTTTTCCTCTTGGACCCTTTGAGATTGTAAAGAATGTATGATGAATACACTTGTTCATAGCCAGGCCATAATACTTTGTAGCAGCTGTTGGTGTGTAAGAACTTGGTACTCTTTAAAAGTCTGTAAAGAAAACAAAAGAATAGCTACTGACAATGTCGTGCTTTATAGACCCTTCTACAGTTTGTAAACAATCATGACGTACATAAGTCTGCACATGCAATATGGCAACAGAAGTATGGCTGGGTGCAATGTCTTGTGAAGCTATGCACCAAGGATCACAAATGCTACCTAAACAAATTGACATTGACAGATGGTGACCAACTTCCAGATCTGTGTGCTGTTAGTGAGTGGATACCAGACATAAGCAAGAGGCCCAATACTCAGTGGCAGAATACACGCTAGAATTTGATAGAAAAAACTAGCATGTACACCAGCGAGGAATTACCAGCATACAAGTTAATAGATGATTACGACAGTGTTATCTTTGGTAATGTAAATAATGTCAAATACCAAGATACAGAATTGGAGTTGTGTATCTAAAGGCCCAGCAAACCAAATCAGACATCAAAGAACTAGTGGCCAACTACTGCAGAACCTCGCATAGCCTTTGTCTCTGCTACAAAGTTGCACTGAACACACCACAAAGTCTACAGCCAACAGCCGACTAGCATGTACGTTTTGCGCCTGCGTGAGAGGAAATAACACTCCACGCTAGTTGTGTTCTGTCATTCAAAAAGAGAAACCGGAAGACCAACAGGTAGGAATCAAGACGCTACCTAGCCAGTTAGCACAATACAACCCAGTACTGAAAGGACAAAGGATATTTACCGTGCACTAGCAAACAATAACTCAAGCAATTACCAAACGTTTCTGCCAAAGTGCTCAATGGCTAAAAATACAATCTTTACTTTTATGATAAGTTTGTTTCAATCTCACAACCTCTTGACTTTAGCCGTTTCCGCACTTCCGTTTCTCTTTGTGTGAACTGAGCTGAACCGCCGATCGGAATTTCATTCACCAATGAGCTCTGCCATCTCTGACACCAACAACTAGGTGATGCTAGCATAGTTCAGAGCTTGATGATATAGTTGTTATGCTAACATACATTCTGCTTCTGTTTTAGTGTAACGTGAGAATTTTTGATCATGTCCGCAGTCCAGTGGTGGCAAACTCATTCAATAGCTTGCAATAGCTTGCAGCCTTTGTTGGGGTTTAACAAGTGATCATGTTAACTGATGTGTTGCAGAATAAAGAGACACAAAGCACAGGACTGAACGTTTGAGGGTCTACTCATGATTTGTACATCATGACAATTGTCTGACAAACAAGCAGTCTCAGTTGACATTCCTACAAGCTTTCCAATATACATTAAAAGGTGTTTCCTGTCACTTAAGCTGCTGTTTCCTGTTACTGATAATCAGTTCTGGGAACAATTGCCTCTCTTCACCTACCCAAATTTGGCTAGAGTGATCAGAGTGATGAAGTCATGTCAGGTCATTTACACTTTAAGTTATCGTAGTAATTCACGTAAATGGTTGGTAAAGATAATTAACACAGATTTAAAACTGACTGTAGTAAAATGAAAGGCTACGTGTAAGGCCATCATTACGTGCACCCATAATGCATTCGGCTAAGTCACTAGTAAGAACGGTCACTTGTTAAACGAAACAGGGTTGTTCTGATGGTCATGATCCTGTCAGAACTCTGTAGAACTTGAGTCCACTGTTGGAATATCAATTCTGACAACCAAACATACAACATGTCAGACATTTTAATGCGGGTAGCAGCTTTAAATCATTGTTTAAGACGTGCCAACTCGTCTGGTTGGCTGGGACAAAACACCACTTCTGTTGCCAACATGCGTGCGCATATTTTTGATGACGTCAGCTGATAAAGGGTCTACATCTGCACAGACATATTTCAACTGTCACCAGTAAAAGAAACTCATACACTTTGGGACGTTTCTCCATTGTTCATTCAGTCAACACTTTGATCACTGGAAATTGCTGTCTCATCTGATATCTTAAATGCCACATTATACTGTAAGATCCAGATCCAGGGGATATCCATAATTGAAAAATGAAAGAGAATCTTGCTTTCGTGATATTTCAGAAGGCATAAGCATTGTAATGTTCTTCAGTGCACAAAAATCTACAATGCATGCATCATCAGTAATGTTCTGTTTCATCCTTATTTGGATATTTCTACGGTAAAGAAACTGTCATTTTGAAATTGTTTCAAATAAATGTATTTTTGTACATCAACGCATTTGTTTTCTGGGAGATGGAATTTATGTGAACTGAAGGGTGCTAATTAGATGATGTTGACTGCAAATTATACTGTCTGCCTGATGACTCAAAGTACCAGTACCCATCTACAGTATAAGCACACAGAGGATAGCAAACTGCCAGCACTGTCCCTGTCTTCCTGATCCTCGTCCACTCATAGACTATATGGTGTGACCAAAACACTTTGCTATGCAGCTCTCACACATATTATACAGTGACAGCATCTAAACAGAAAGGGATCAAAATTAATGTGTGTGTTTTTCTATTATTGTCATTACAGAAACAAGTGCTAATGTCTAATACTAATGATGATTGCTGGGTAAACAGCTTGTGTGCATATCCTACTATAGTGTATGTACATATATACACTTGTTTGCTGTTTAAAAGACAAAAAAATCATATGCAAATTAATTTGCTAATATTTGTTACACGAAGGTGAACACATCCATTCCTAATGTATTTTGCATTTTGCAGTTTGGGTCTTATTTGAGTTAATTACTAAGATCTGGGAATATGGTGACACTGCTGAAAATAATTCAGAAGGAGCAGGAAACACAAGTAGCGTAATCAACTATCCATTTGATTACTCTAACTTATTGTAAGAACCAGCAAAGGCAAACAGCAAAGTTGTTCCCCAAACAATTTTACCATAGTTGATCATGCACACAGTTTTCGAGATGGGGAATTATTAGGGTTGGGTACCAAAACCTAGTTCCTTCACTACCGGTACCTATTCCATTGAATCATAACGCAGACTTCGGTGCTTCATTTTGGTGCCAGATTGTGTGTGTGGTGAGTGTGTCATCAAAAAGACCCAAGCCTAGCTCCCGTGTCTTGCTGATTAAAATTAAAGGACTTAGCCCCGGAGTTAGTGAGCAAAGTTAGCAAGCGAAGCTAGCCTCCCATTGAAACCTCACCAGGCTCATTTAAGGTGACCTGTATAGATGGACCAGCTATTCTCATTGCAGTGACAATCTCAGCAGCTCCTAAGCAAATAATGGAGATGTCTGGCTGCTGACTTTCTACAAGTTAGAAGGACCATTCTTGATCCCAACGCAATGCCATACCCTATCCTAATTATCACCGACATGTTGTGTGCTATCACTTCTTGTTGTACCTCAGAATGAAGTGGTTCAGATAAACTGGCTAAATTATTAACTTGTTGACAGCCTGTCTGATCATCTGCTGTTTCTTTCGCTGTTGCTGTGTTTCCATAGATTTGGTGGGTACAATCAGTGGCATAATGGGGGGTATATGCAGGTATACAGAGTCTACCCACCTCTTTTTCTTACAGCATTCCCAACTATCAGCCAAAAAGGCATAAAGAAAAGTGTACCCACGTCCTCCTCAGTAACCTACTTATCTACTTAGTACACCCACCTCACCAACTACCACTACACCACTGGGTACAACTATACCCATAATAGAACCCATAATATAACTGATAGAACCATTGGCCAAAACCAGTACTTAATTTGAGCCAGAACGTATCACTACTGTGGATTAATGGGATAAGTTCAAAGTCCAATCGCAAGAGGGTGAGTGTCCATGCGCCGTCCAATAACAGCGTGCGCTGGCCACCTGGCACTCAATATGCTGCTGTAGTAGTTTGTTTTCCAGACATGTGAGTATCTTTGAGCAGTGAAAGTTATTATTTATTTCTTTTTACTTGTCAGCAGTGATTTGTTTTCCACAGAGCTCTACGTGCGAGCATTTTACTCGCATTTGCGACTAAAAATAGTTTTCTGCCAGCAAAATAAATCATTCAGCACGCTGTGCGAGTACAGATTTCAACCAGCAGCAGAAACGAAAGGCGAATCCTGCCGGTTGTGGGTTGAACGGGGGTCACAGACAGGAATACAGCGGTCAAATAGCCTATGGCGGCTCTGCGGCACAAGACAGCTTACCGGCAACAGAGAAGTCCAACTCCAGGTCCAGTAGCCTAATTTCCTCTTTCGTTGGCGTCATGACTGCCCAGTAGTACCTGGACAACCAAGCCATGGCGGCACACAGGTATGTGGCATGTCAGAGGAGAAATGAGCCGTTCACATTTCTCTCTTTGTGGCAGGTAACGGCCCACAAACCTCACCGCACTTTAGGGACTGTTCTCTACTCAGGGGAGGAGGGTGGCTGGTTGATTTTTATTTTATTTATTTATTTTATTTTGATCCCCCCTATGTTAATCACTTATTGATGCTGTTTTTGAAGTATGAATAAGTCAATAAGTAATTTATTCCATTGAAATATCATTGATGTGTTATAGGAAAGTGATTTATCTTTTTATAAATGACAAAAAGGCACATCTGCCTCATTTTTGCTGTGGTTTCGTGATACTACTCAGAACCGTGATACTTTCACTGGTATCGTACCGTGGGTCCCAATTTCGGTACCGTGACAACACTAGATGTCACAACCATTCCATTCGGAGTTGCGCAGTGAGGCGGCTTGGGTGCCGCTTAAAAAAGGTGTTACCCCACTTTTGGGAGTGGGGGAACACTGCTCTCTCAGAGGCTCAAAGTGTTCCCCAACTTCTAATTTTACAAATTAAGCACTGGCCAAAACTACAACAATAAGACACAGGATATAAATTACGACTTACCTTTAAACTGCAACACCCAGGGACTTCATCGTCTTTGACACGTCTGCGTTACGATGAACTCTCAAAGCACTAACATATGGAGAGAGAGAGAAGAAAAGATGGAGATTGAAAATGAGGGAGAGATTTTTTTTTTTTCACTCAAGAACTGTGTGAGCCTGATACAGTCCACAACTTGGAGATGGGATTTTCCTTCCACATGCTTGTCCATCAAATGTGTGTCATGTTGTTTTCGGGACTCATGAGTGGGAAGGTAAGTTCCTTTGATGGTACAGTGCATTATGGGTAAACAGACAACAATTTATTAAAACGTAAGTGTTAAAAATAATACTGGCTGCCTCTGAGAAATGTGAGTCTTTTCCAAATTCTCTTGAGAGATGATATGCTGATATTCATAATCTTTTAAGTTGCCATGGTGAGCCTTTCAGGAAACAGTTACCTATTTACCTGTTACTAATCCCTGGCAACAGAACCAATCAACCCCACAGTAAATCAAATTCTTTTTCAGAAGTTGCTGAATCCTCATCAGTACATGGAAGTATGTGGCTTCATGTGGAGCACTGATAAACGAGTACAGAAACTCAAGGAATGTGAAATGACCAGGACTGTTTTAACTTTGGCAAAAATCTGGGCCCCAATCTCCGCTAGAAAGGACCAAGTAACAAAATGATTTTTTAAAGAGCCTTTATAGATTGACTATAAATGTATCCTGAGTTGCAGTATTTCATTATACTGTGATGCTTTGCTGCCATGTGCTGATCGCTGCACTTGAAAGGTTCAGGGTCAAGTGTAGACACGATTGGTCCCGCCTACATGTGATGGCTTTGACCTTGTAGACCACGTAGACTGAGGCATGATATGACTTGGGGCAATGGAGCAATTACAGTGATTATTGATTGGGGCTCTAATTATCACCACAGTGATGGTCCTGACCCTGACAAGCAAAATCTTTGATTTGATGGCTCCTACACGAGAATGCTGCATGCAAATGTCCATTCAGCTGAGAGCTGAGTGATTGGAAGCGAGATGTGTGTTGTGCTCAATGAAAGACTTTCCTCAGGAGAGAGGACAGCATTGTCATCTCAGTTCCACCATCCTCTGTTCTCCCTGCTTCCACCCCCCCCCCCACCCCTGTGGGATTACTTCCACAAGAGTATGAAAATACCCACGTCACATCATAAAGGCCTCCCTCAATTACAGTTTATTTCACTTTTTTTCTGTTTTTCTCTGGCTGTGGCAGATGAGACTTGGACATGAAATGGAATTATTGGAGTTATCAATGCAAGATAGCAAAGCTGGCACAAACAAAAGCCATTTGTCTTTATTCACCAGGGAAGTCTGAGAGCAGCCTCATTATACTGTGGCTCGAATTAATCTCAGCCCCCTGTCTCTCCCTTTCACCTTGGGAGCCTGATACAATGTATTACAGGGCTCTTAGAATCCTGAACACATACTCTAACCCTTGGTGCAGGTTACTGATAGACTTGCATGTCAGGTGGAGGACAGAGGCACGGAACGCGCCAATGCAAGCTAAACGTGGAAAATAACAGGTAAAGTTTGGGTTCCACTGTCTCAGTATTACAGTTTCTGCACAGCTTGATCTTGTATTACATTTTTTAAAGAATGGTCGACAGGAAGTCAGATCACAGGAGGCAATAGATTTACACATTTATATTTTCAGCTGCACAAGCTGACTTTGAAAACAGTATGGATATGCTTTGATTTGAACCCTGAATGCTTTGTGACATAGATTTTATGATAGTGGGTGTTTCTCCATCTGTGGCTCACTATGACATATGTTGCTAACATGAAGAATTAATGATAAGGTAGGACTAAAGGCAAAGCTAACACCATTGACATGTGGATGAATTAGAATTAATGATGGGGAGTGAGTACAACCTACTTCTTGACTGAGATGCCACCCATCCACACCCTTTATTTGCATCACTGGAGCCACCATTTCTTCTCATGGTGCTACCAACCTCCTCCACCTTCCCCACTCACAATGCCACTGATCACATCACACCCACCCTAGCACTTCAAGCTACCAGATCAAGTGTTTATGACATGTAATCAATCTTGTCAAAATGCCAAGGTTTTACATGTTTTTAAGTGACTAGTTCAACATTATCAATAGTTGGAAATATGGTTAGTGGTGTTTGGCCAGCAGTAGTTTTGTGCAACCGCTGGTGGTTGCCTGGCAACAGCAAAGAAAGAGTCTGGACCAGTGACATAGTCAAGACTACCTAAACCGAGACCAAGGGTGCCTTAACGCTTAACCTGTTCTAACCCATTTGGATCCGTTCAAAGAAACTCAGGTCCATTTGCATGGATAGTATGGCTCATTTTGACTGGTCTGAAAGCTGTCAGTCAAACCCTG